GTGGTGTCAGTGAAATACTGCATGTGGTTTCAGGACTGATTTTTAAATACTCAGTTTTGACTATTAAAAGAATAACAAGCAAAAATACTGTTTGCATGTCACAAGCAGAGGGTATCACCGAATCACAGGATCAACTAGGTTGGAAAAGACCTTTGAGATTATTGGGTCCAACCTATAACAACATCATCTTGTCAACCAGACCATGGCACTCAGTGCCACATCCAGTCTTATCTTAAACACCTCCAGGAATGGTGACCCCACCACCTCCCTGGACAGCTCAGGAGGCCAGTTGTCCTGAGGACTGATCTGTGTTACTGTTGAAAACTGAGGCAAAGAAGGTGTAAAGTACCTCAGCAGTTTCCTCACCTTTGGTAACTCTATTCCCCCCCACATCCAACAAAGAATGGAGGTTTCCCTTACTCCTCCTTTTGCTCTTAATGTATTTATAGAAACACTTTTTATTATCCTCTACAGAAGTGGCCAGATTAAGTTTAAATTGAGCTTTCGCCTTTCTAATTTTCTTTCTGCATGACCTAACAACGTCCTTAAACACTTCCTGAGTTGCCTACCCATTTTTCCAAAGGTGAAACCCCCTCTTTTTTTCCCCCTGTGAGTTCCTGCAAAAGCTGGTCATCTTCCCTGTGGGCTCTTCTTTCGGCACATAGGGACAGCCTGCTCCTGTGCCCTCAAGATTTCTTTCTTGAATCATGTCAATACTTCCTGGACCCCTTTGTTTTTAAGGGCTGTTTCCCACGGTACTCTCCAGATCAGCATCTTGAGTAGGCTGAAGTCTGCCCTCCAGAAGTCCAGGGTAGAGGTTTTGTTGGTGCCTCTCCTTGTACCAAAAACTCTATCATTTCATGGTCACTGTACCTCAGATGGCCTGACTACAAGCCCATACCAGTAAGTAAAGAGAAGAATAAACATTTCTGAGTGCAGAAATTGTCAAAGGCAGCACAGATTTTTCTATAGATAAAAGCTGAGTTTAGGTTGTGTAGGTTAAGTGCTAGAATGCTTTGAGAAAAACTGCAGTTGTTATAAATATTGACAAAGTAGCTGAAAGACATGAAGAAGAAAGAGGTCAGTCCTACAGGATCATTTATTGCTACCCAAAGGGTACTGTAAGAAAAAATACTGCATCTACCAAGGTTGGTACAGCTTTTCTCTCCCAATCATGTATTTTTTATTGTAGTTGAAAGAAACCACAACACAGCGGTGATAAATGCAATGGAAGATCTACCACCTAAAACTATCTTGCTTTCCTTTGCTTATCACTTAACAAACAGACACCTTTTCATGGATATAGTGAATTAGAAATGGGAGATTAATACATTATCACTGTTAGTCTTACTGGTTAATTGCTTTCATTTTACAAGTAAATTATTTCAGCTCAGTGCAAACAGCAAATCAATTTTTTTGCTACCGTCATTAGCACTAATCAATAATTAATTAGGAACATTAAAAATTGTTAGCGTGAAATTTTTCTCCTCTGCACTTATCTAAATGCCAAATTTATTTTGTTGAGAGGTTGGCATAAGACTGGGACAGCTACATGGTTGTGGAAAATAAGCTGAAGGAAAAGTTCAAGCTGAGAAGTAGAAAGGATTTCTTATTAGTCTCAGTAAGCAGTCTATCTGACCAGGGTGAAATTTAGCTGCTTTTTTACTTTTCTAGATTAAAAATGTGACATTACAGTTTAGTCCACAAATGTGATGACTCAGCTGCTGCTTTCTCTTGCAGACTCAATATTTCATTGATTTTCTTTTTAAATATCAAATTAATTTTCAATTCTACATTGACAAAAAAGTGTTGGGCTCTATCCCTCACAATTTACTGGAAGACAGCAAAAAATAAATCCCATGGGAATGATATTGCTGTGATTACGAAACAGCAACCAACTCAACCACTTTCAAAATAATACCAAATTTACATGAAAGAAAATCATCTCACAATGAATGTTTCAGCAGTTATATGTCCAATTTAAGGAAAACAAAACTCTCCCAACAGATTATGCTCCCTCAGAATGTGAGTCCCACATCACAATGTCACGAAAGATAAAAAAATACTTTAAAGTTTCTAGGACGTCGTGTCCCAGCGCAGGAGACTCTGTAAGTGGGGTAAAGCTGCAAGCCAAGGCTGTCAGCAGGCTCTGTTCAGGGTACTTCAGGATAAAGGCAAAGATAAATGCAGTGTGAGTTCCTTCATGGCACTCTGGGGAGTTTAATATAGGTGAAAACAAGTTCAGGTTTACTTCAATTCACACTGGGATCTAGAAAGCTCCTGTATAAGCCAACAACTGAGGGAATACAGTTATGTAGAATTGATGATGGAATTATTGAAGGAGTTAAGGGGTCTCTAAAAAGGGCCTGTGTACACGGCCCATGGGGGTACCCTGGTTAATATCGTGCAATTCAGTCAATGTTGTTGTGGAGCCCTCACCTCGCCCCAGCACAGTTGCATGTATCTGGATTAGAATAGTAAAGACCAGATGCCATGGGTTTGGTTCAGATGACCTAGGAGAAGTTTGGATTACAGATTTTGCGTATTAGGAATGTATATATAGCAACATTACTCATTAGCTACTCTCCCAACCTGGATCTGCATATTCAGTTCGGGCTAATTTCTTCATCACTGTGGTGCCTTAATCTGCTGTCACTGCACTGAATAGCCACACCTTTTTCCATGGCACAGCTTAGAAGTCAGAGACTGGCAAGTCCTTTCTGAAGTAAAACATTTTTACCAAACATGTTTTGTAGAAGTGCCAGTGTCCTATTCTAACACTCTGCACTATCACAGGCATTAATGGGCAGAACAACTCCTAACTCATACACATGTGCATACACGCTCACATATGTTTATATTCTCATATGCTTATAGTATAAATACAGATAGCATAATAATTGCCTTTGATTAACACATGAAATCGTGTTACATTGGGCTGCATGACAGGGAGAATTAAAATACTGGTCTACAACTGAAAGAAAAAGTCTTCACTGTTAAAAAGCACATGGGCTGGCTGTAGGTCAATGCTTGGCTGTAGGTCCTGGCTCAGCACAGGACCCAACCAAACAGCTTAAAAACTCTGCCTTTGTACATAACATATCACTCTAGCATTTTTCATGTTCCAGGAAACAGTGATGTGAGCTGAGTCGCATCACAATGACTGGTTGCATCATCCCATTTTTATGGGTACATCAATCATGCCATAAAACCTTTGCTTTTTACTGAATTCTGAAAGAGGAATGGTAAGCCATTAACAGGTCAGATGCAGTCTCAAAAACAAAAGTTCATTTCTTACAATGCAGACACAAATGCCATTTAAGGAAATTCATTAAGTTCAAACTCAGACACCTAATTAATTCAGTCTATGTTCAGGCATTTAAGCAAGTGAACCAAGAATTTCCAGATAGAACTAACTTCAGATGGAAATGACATCACTTTGGTATGACTTTCATAATCTGAATATATAATGATAAGTAAAAGGTTTTGATTATGTATCTCTAGTGACATTCATCTCCTTGGCCTCCTGATTTATAAAGAACATAAAGTAACTTATCAAAATCAGCAGTTTTGTATGCAAAAATGATACATTCTTGGTAAAATATTCTCTGTGAGAATACATATGTTACCTCAATCTTCTACATACCTTCTTAGAGAAATAAGCATAGTAGTTAATACACTGATTTGACTGAGGACGTTGGTGGTAGGACATAATTTTCCCAGAAAAATAATCTGGAAAATAAACAGAGCCTAGAATCAATAGAAATGTAACTAAAAATTAAGATATCTCCAATATGAATTGACACTGTTTATTGGCAGCTGGAGGAAAGATATTTATTTTCTATCCCTCATCTTTACAGATTGCTTCCCCTGAGGCCTAAATTCAAAGTAAACTGTTCTGATACTGTGCAACAGATTTGTCTGAGCAACCAGCTGAAATTCGGCAGTAATTGCCTACGGTGATATTTTTATCAAATCTCATTTGGAGATCTCAAACTCTGGATGGTTCATCATATATTTCTGTCTGCAAATTCTCTGCATTAGATACTATGGGAGTATTCAATCCATAGAAATACTGTTTTTCATATTAATGAGTTATAAATGAGAGCTTAATTACTACTAATTCCTTGAAAATCCACTGTTGGTGATTATAATCACTAACGATTAGATTGTTAAACATTCATCTTTGTCTATCTTTAGCAAACTTAATGAGAAGTTATGGATCAGATCCTCAGTTTCTGATTCTACTGCCAAGTGCCAGTGGAAAAGAATGTCTGCTGGCTATAAGAAGTACCAGGTCACCCTTAGCACTGACACAGGGGTTGACTAGGAGACAGCAAAAGATGTGAAGGGAATATATTGCACTCCTGCAATCCACAGCCCATAGCATTGTCTCCAGGGGCTATTTCTCCTGGTGTAACTTTGAGTACTTTCACCCAAATCTGCTATTACCCAGCTGAACTACCCCTGATCTCCCTTGTTTCGATGTCAGGAGAATGAGGAGGGAGGCTGATACTCTGAAGGCACCAAATAACTTCTTGCAGTTACAAGTGCAATGTGGGCTGGCACAGAGATTTATATACCTCTGTATGACTTCAGTTGACATTAACTAATAATTGTTAGGCTTCTGATGGGCATTTACAATGTATTCAAATTGCTTCATCACCCATTTGACCACCTTTCTACAGCTGGTGCATAGAGCTACTTTCCCCAGAATGGGCTGCAGCACAGTAGGTGTACTTCAGACAGAGCAGAGTTATTTGGTCCAGCATACTTTTGCCCTTCAAACATTCTTTTAGTATTTATTTAATTATACTATTTCTTAAATAACAAATTTGCAAACCAATACCAATGGGAGTGGCAGGTTTCCATCTGGATAAACATGAAGGAGTTTGGTTTTTTTAGTGTATTTTACTAAAGTTTGTGTTCCTCCTTATTGCAGTGTTGTACTTAAAATATTTATTTGCTCTGTTACAACACCGGTGTTTAGTTAAACATCCTGGTGTCTATTCTTCAGCAAGGCTCAAAGCCCATTCTTATTTAGGATGTGTCAGATAGCCATTAGCAGGTGAAGCTGAAACCATTTTAGAAGTTACTGCAGGTACCTTTCCTCTTTCATTATTTAGGGCTTGTATCTCTACCACTGTGTGCACAATGAACCACTTGAGATCTTTTCATCCACTTGGAAGAAAAATCATCCAGTGTATATTTTAAATAATACTTAGCTGGGAATTTAAGTTAAATAGATGACTTGTGTAAAGGTAGGTAATGACACTACCCTTTCCACTTGCTCTGCTGAAAGAGCTGTATCATCCAAGAGGGCAGGAAATGTGATGGCAGTCATTTCTTAAACCACCTTAGTGGTACTTTCAAGAGAACATCTTTCAAGACCAGTAATTTCCTCCTGCCCTTTGTCAGAGCCTTTTTCTGCACCTCTGTCAGCTGGAATTGCCTTCTTGGAATAGAAAGAGACTGCTAAAAAATAGTACAGGTGCAGTCTCAATAGCATCCACCACAATGGCATCACTGGTAAAATGTATCTTGAAAAGACTGAGAGAAATAAAAAAAATACTGCACATATTGTATATACAAATTGTATATAGTTCTACATACATACAGAATCTAGATAAATACATATGTGTTCTATCCTTATATATATAGAATTACATATATAATTTAAAGAACATAACCCTGTAATTCACTTAAATAAGTTTAAGAAATGAGGAATCCCAGTGGTTTGAATGAAATGAGTGAATATTTTATATTTAAGTTTGTTGCTGAACTCGAGCTATGGATAAGAAAACTAAAATGAAAATTATTCACTACCTGTACTGAAAATAAGTTTCACAGACAAAAAACTATTAATATAAAATATCTGACCATAAACACAGAGAGAAAGAACTATCTCCTGCTCTGTTATATGCTGGTTTCAAACCTCAGTTTATTGTTTGCTTTCTTATTTTGAATATATTTGGTATCTAAGCAACTCACAGTCAGAATAAGATAAAAAGGCATGTGACAGCTTAATATAAATTAAGAAACAACTTAAAGCTACGCATAAATGCATATTGAGTAACAACATCAATGAAAATTGTGGTTGATGAAAGATATAAACTAAAATTTATTATGCTACACATAACCAGCTACATACTTAGGCATGAATCCTATCTGTAGCAATGCTAAATCAACTGCTAAATCAAGAACAATATTCTTAATAATTTTAAATTATTAAAGCTATATACAAACTTTTTTTTTTAGTCTTACCTCATGATTATAATAGTGTCATTTTAGATTAATAAACAGAATTATAACTAGGTATTTTGTTTGAATTCCAAACTAGAAGCTAGATGAGACAGTGGTGATCCCACTCAGTTAATAAGCAGGCTTTGGGAAGCAAGGCTGCAATTACTGAAGTAGCTTTCTTTTAGTTTGATTTCAGCTGGACTAGTTCCCTCAACAAGCCCTCTGTAACTACCCAAATCCTAGGACCAGAAAATGAGTGGAAGTGGGGATGCAACAGGGAGAGTGAGACTCTCCCCTATCAGGTAATATGGATTTATGCTGTGTTGAAATGACCTTGAGAGGAACTGCAGCCTGAACCATCAATTCTCCGACAGAATCACTGAAGTGAAAGTTACATGTTTAAAGACTGATCTCTCATTTTAGGGTTCTTGCTCAACTCAAAGCCAAATTTCAGATTATCTCAGTAGTAATCCATAGAAGATGCAAATTCTGAACACCACTAGGAACTGCTCCCAAAGTATTTCATTTCAGCTCCCACATGGGTTATACACATGTGGACTTTCTGAGATTTCTTTTGGTTAGTATATTTGGGTTTGTTTCTGAAACATGGCCTATCTGTATGCAGAGACATCTGCCCCAAGAGATTCCACAGTTTCAAGAGCTCGGAAAAAAAGTATTTCACTCTGTTGGGAAGCATATGCCTTGTTACGACACTTTGAAATACACCTTTTGCTTCAAATTAAGATTTTTTCCCCCAAGTAAAGAAGTGGACAGAATTAGTAATACTACAGCTTCTGCTCATACATGCAAATCCAGTAGCAATAAAAATGATTTCACCTTATTATTATTCTTTGTCAAAGCTGTGACAAATAACAGGCCATTAAAAAAAAAAAAACAAGACTGTACACAAATTGGTATAGATAACCATAAATCAGAATCAGTTGCATCTTTTTTTGCTTCTCTTTCTCTAATTCCATTCAGGTTGGTTTTGGTCCATTAATTTTCAATATATATCTAAAGATCTGCTCGGGGTAATCTATGATGATTGTGCATGCACATGTATATATATATTTATATAAAAATCCTGACAGCTAAAAATAAACCATGCTTGATTCACACAGAAGGAGTTTATCACTTTGATTTTCATAACCCAGCATGCAGTTGTCACATTTATCCCTCTAATACAATGTGCACTGTTTATGCATAATATAACTTTAATTGTAATTTGCACAATTTCAGAGCGCAAAGCCCCGGCTTTAAGTAGTGTTCTGTATTAACATAATGTCAGTTACATGTACAATTTCATGACCATTTTCTTTTACTCTCAACACTATTTATAATGGTATTGTCTGTGTGTGCAGAGAGAAGGGACCCAGCACCTGCAGACCCCTCCTAGGGCAGATGGCGCTGTCCCCTCACAGGATGAACCGTGTGGGCCTGTACAGGTGGTTAGAGTTAAATTAACAAATACTACAACCATGAACACAACCTTCTGACTCTGTGTCCTGGATCTCTTGACACCAGCACCCCTCTCCTCCCACAGGGAACCCTCTGTGAACCCCAATACCCTCCTTTCCCTGATGAACTGCTGCCAAGCCGTTTTTAATGTGCGGCTCACACGCTTGTGTCCAGGGATATGTGCCACACACGGCTTTCCCTGTGGGATAAGACCCTGCCCAATCCCTGGGGCAGGCTGCCCTTGTACACAAAAATCAGACTTGTTACCTGGTGTGCAGCAAGCCAGTAATTACACATTAGGGAGAGACACTGATTATTGATTTCAGACACTGATTATTGATTTCAGAGTCACCAACGTCTGGGTGATAGCTGGAATTCCAGAAACCAAGCACTCCAACTATCAAAACTTTTTACTGTTTATACATTATAGCAAAGAAAGGAATTAAGGTTCATTTGCTACAAGTTACAGATTTCTCTTATTAATTAGTATTCTATCTTCTATTGGTTAATGATTTTCTCGCTTCCAATGCTAATTAGTCCGCATGGTCAGCCTTTTTCTTCTTTTGGGTCGGCGAGTTTCTTGGGTTGGTGATCCGTGAGTCGGTGTTTGTGATCGCCCCTGCGGAGTTACCTTTTACCCAGTCGGAGCTGATTTCAGCACAGTTGCTGCGTAGTTTCTTAACTCTGTCAAATGTCCTTGTGGCCTGTAAATTCTGCATTCTTTGTGCCCGCTACCAGTGGCCCATTCTTCTCCCCAAGCTTTGTTAACTTCCACCTCCGTCTGAGACCACTGAAACATGTCAAGCCCTAAACCTCAACAAGGCAATTCTAACCAGGACATCACTTAGAGCTTGTTGTTTCACGGATTTAATCCCTCTCCTAGGATTAGGCTAGAAAGTATATAACGATCAAACATTAAGGATCATCTTTTCTCAAGAAAATGTTACATATTTCCACACTTTGCAACACCCTCAGGGCTCTCCCTGAGGTGGGTAAGACCCCGCCTCGTCCCTGCAGCTCCCGGACGGGGTGGGGCAATCCAGGAGCAGCGAACTCCCCTCACAGCTCTCCCTGAGGGAAAAGACCCTGCCTCCCCCCTGGGGCTTCCAGACGACCCCCCCTCCCGGAGCGGCGCACTCCCCTCACGGCTCTCCCGATGGGATAACACACGACAGCCCGTGGGATAACCCTGGGAGATAAGCGGCACGCTGCCCTCACACCCGCTCCCCTCACACCCGCTCCGCCCCCGGCGGACACGCGGTCTCTGCAGCGCATGCGCGGGCCGGAGGGGGCGGTGCGCGCGGGCGGCGGCGGCGGCGGCGGGAGCGTGTGAGGAGCCGGTGAGCGGAGCGGAGCCGGGGCGGGCGGGAAGGAGCCGAGTGGGGAGGAGAAGGAGCGGTCTTGCAGCTGCTTTCCCTCTGGGAATGGGTGCGGGAGCGAGACCCGCTGCTGGCTGAGCCGCCCCCTGGGCCGGGGGCACCCTCATCCTCCCACGCGCGCGGCAGAAGGAGCCCTTGAGCCGCTCTCTGTAATGGCCGGGGTTGTCCTGGCCCATCAGCCGGGGCTCGGCCCTTGTGGGGCCTTAGGGGACGTGGGACCGTGCTGATCTCTTTAAGTTCTTTCATCTTTCATGCTAAAGCGTAGAAAGGCTGCCAAGCGCAGCTGTTTCAGGGCCAGTGAATGAAGAGGAGTCCTCGTAAATTATGTAAACCATCATGAAATCTAACTTGTGCTCTCGGCATCCTTACTTTGTTTCAGCTGCAAACTAAGTGCTTTCTGCCCCTTCCTTGTCTTGGTGGAGTCCCATGAACAACCTTCCCCGGACAGGAACACCCTGAATTCAGTCTTTACCCGATATTAGTCCCTGTGCTATCAATGCCGTTTAATCTAAATTAGTTGTCTTGTGAACGTGTTGCTCTAAACATAGTTTCCCTTGTGAACTCTGGAATGGGATCCCACTGGCGATGCATATAGTCAGGAGAGATGTAGGTATTTATCCAGTGGCTGAAATGTGTTTAGTGTAGGTTGTACTGTGCAGGGGTGTTTGAGAAGCAGCATTACTTTGATTTCCCATAATATGTGACTGACTTGTAAAGAAACTTACTTTTCAAGTTACTTCAGACTTTTTTCTGATACCTAACTGTAGTCTTTGTTAGGTGTGATGTGGTTGCTTACAAATAGGTGTAATTTCAAGTACACAATTTCATTACACTGGCATTACTTCTGTTATAAGAAGTTATCCTTTTTCTTTTTTCTGTTGATGATTCTACAACCCCAGCTTTTACTTCAAAAAAACCTGAAGGCATAGTGTAAAAATAAAAGAAAAAATCTTTCCTCAAATATATTTATGGAAATACTTAACAGAGATTGACCCCAGAAGGAACTCTGTTATTAAGTACTTTGATAAATACATATGTCTTTATGAACCATCTTGTATCCCAATAGCTCTCCTGTTATTGAAACACTCTATTTCTTTTTTCCTTCACAACAGTTTGTTTTCAATTTCCCATGCTATTTCTGGTCTCCTTCTGCTAACCTAATCTTTTTTCTGTTGTACTTATACCCAGCATAACGTGTTTAGCTGTAAGTACTTACATTTAAAAGTGTTTGGAATGCTTTGTTTATTATCTTTGTCTTGATAACATATATTCCTGTCAGCTGATGAAATACCTTTATTGCCTTACTGAAATTTCCGAACTTTCTAATTGATTATCAGGTTATATTATGATTGACAAAGTCAGAATCCAGCTGTTGAGGTTACTGTTGAGGTTCTCTGCATGTTGTCTGTATCACTACAGATAAATGTACTGTCTTTCCAGCAGTTTTAGAAGTGCAGACGAAATAGTATCTTTGAGGTGTTTTTCTATATTCAGTCACTAAAGTCCAGCCTTCTCAGTGTCTCAGCAATCAAGACCTTTGTTTTTCCTTGTCTAGTCCTTGTCTAAGAGGTAGACTGTAATTAATGTTAGTTTTATATAACTGGTTTGGGCTCCTATGTGTTTTAAGGACTATTTCCAGTCTTTACCATCAGCTAGGTTTTCTTCATATGCCTCTGCTGCTTTTAGGCTGGGCAAATTAGCAAATTTGCAGATGACACCAAGTTGGGGGGGAGTGTTGATCTGTTGGAAGGCAGGAGGGCTCTGCAGAGGGACCTGGACAAGCTGGAAAGATGGTCTGATTCCAGTGGGATGAGGTTCAGCAAGGTCAAGTGCTGGGTCCTGCACTTTGGCCACAACAACCCCCTGCAGCGCTACAGGTTGAATAGTTGGAAAATATTTTTTACAGAGAGACTAATCAGACATTGGAATGGGCTGCCCAGGGAGGTGTTGGATTCAATGTCCCCAGAGGTTTTTAAGATGAGACTGGATGTGGCACTGAGTGCCACGGTCTGGTAACCATGGCAGTGTTGGATCAAGGATTGGACTTGATGGTCTCAGAGGTCTTTTCCAACCCAGTTGATTCTATGATTCTGTTCTAAGTGTTGCTATTAGCAGCCCAAGAGCTATTATTTTGTCATCTTCATCTTTCCTTATGCCCTACCACTTCCCTATTACTTGTAAATCCTAATTTATTGCCTGTTCACAGAGGTGATGATCTGTGACTAATCTACTTTCCTCATTTTATTCCCTTGCTACTTTTAAATGCATATAAAATCAGAACTAAGTATGTATTTCTTCAGTTAACTAAACTATGACAATTCCTTCTTATATTGATTTGCTCATATCCTATATGCCTTTCCCTTTTTATTTGATTTTTTTTTGATTCTGTCTGGTATCAAAATACCTGTATAATGCTTTACATAGTTAAGTTTAATTTTGCTGAAGTCTTATAAGTCTAACATAATTATTCTATTATCCTGAGCTCAAAGTCTGATTAGATTATTTATCAATTCCTGTTCATTTTCTTTTTATGCATATGAAAGCAAATAATAGCGAAAACTTTTTATTTTCCAGATCACTTTATTTTCTGAACCTGCATGTGTAGGTGACTTAACTGCAGGAATATCAAAATGCCTAATCTTGAACATCCAGCATATCCAGCAGCTGCACTGCTTCACTTGGAAAGTTTGGTGCCTTGTCGAGAATCCCAGGTGTCCTTGTTGCTGTCAATATTTGGAGAGGTAGTGTTTTTTGTACTGTATGCTTGACTAGAGCAAAGGCATTCTGCGATTTCAGAGGGGAGAATAGAAATGTGGGTGTGTTTTCGTGATGATCATTGTGAACATACTTTGGTTGTCTCTTTGTTGTACTTTTATTTTTTGTTACTCATACTTATCATTACTGTTTGGCAGTTGGATTCTGGTCCTTTAGAAGGTTGAAAGCTGTCTTGCAACTGGAAGGATCTAAAAAACCACATCCATTTGTGCCTTGCTCTCTCGAAGCCTGATTTTGCCATGACTGTTCCATCTTTTCCTGATAGTACCAGGGAGTCTCTTCTTCCCTAGTCTAAAGTTTTGTTTGTTTATTTTTTTTTTCATTGTCAGTGTAGAAATTCTGTTTGGTTTTGACCTGTTAATCTGAGTACCTGAATTCTAAGTACCTTAAGTTGGTCTGATTCTTAGTAGTTCTGTGGCTGGTCACAAGATTCAGAAGTCACTCGCCTGTTAATTGATTCTGTTACTGCTTCACTAAGCTGCGGTAAAAAGCAACAGGGATTTTATCTGCAAACTTGAAAGTAGTTGATATGTCTGTTTACATTCAGCTGACGAAATGGAAATTAGTCTTTGTTTTTGGTTCTGCCTTTAGCGATGGATAATATTACCATCAAATTACAGCATTCAAGTTTTATGTATATAAAATAAAATATTTTATTTTATAAAAGTTGTGGCAACAACTTTTCTTGAAAATAGATACTTAAATTCTTGATAAATATGCAGGTTAGAGTACCTGCATATATTGTGCAAGAGTGGCTTCATCTTGGATTAATTGAATATTATTGTTTTTCATGAAAAGTATCCATTTTATTTCTGTATTCATTTTTAATTAGTGTATGAGATCATTAGGAATGAGAAAAACACAAAAATAAGTGCCTGTTCAGAATGAAATAAAAAGAACAATTATTTTCCTTGTATGTAAAAAAATTACATGAAATATAGAGCATCAGGACCATTAAATAACTAGATGTCTTATATTGCCTCATGAGAGAAGAGCCAGCTCCTTTTCCACCTCCTCAACCTTTTTTTTTTTTTTTAGTGTTAATGAGAAGAAAAGCAATTTGCATGAGTTAGAGTAATGTATGGCTTGTAATTTGTCCTTCCCAAGATTTCCTTTCCTTTCAGTTGCGTAATGTGTTTCTGTTGTGTATTGCAGCAGTTTCACTGGAAGTTGTGTGATTCTTGGTTCTTGTGAGTTGTCCTCCCGGCATTTCAGTGAGGCTGAAACATAAAACTTGATCTTTTGATTCTGTAGTAATTGCTGTATTTTATATTTAATGCCTCAATTTAGAAGGTAATTTTTTTTTTTTGAGGGAAACTTCATTGATAAATCTTGTATCTGTTGAATGAAAAAGAAGAATTGAAACAGCAACAATTTTTTTTTCCCTAGCGTCAGCAGTTTAGTTTTCCATCGATTTTTATCTACGGACATACATCTAGTGGAAAGACTTATGTGATGCAAACTCTTCTAAACACCTTACAGGTAAGAATGTTCACAATAGATATTGAATTTACAATTTATTTGTAACAGATGGTTTCTTGAAATAGCCTCTACTTTCTGAAAATGACTTGTTTTCTCAGCTATTTCTGGCTTCCTGATTCTTCTTCACTTACTGTGTCGTGAATGCATCACTCTTCTCACTAGTGCACTTAGAATGAAATGGAATTGGAGATACTGAGATACAATATAAATCCTAATAACTTTTGTAAGAAAGTTTAAAAATTATAAAAAAGCCAAATATTGTTCAGCTTGTTTGCATGACTTAGCCTGAAATAGCTCCAGTTGCAAGTAAGTACTGATGATTCCAGTTCTGTCTGCAGTCACTTACACTACACCTTTTTTTTGAATCTTCTTGCAATTCTCCTTTAAACTCATGTGTATAAAAAAAAAAAGAGTGAGAGATTACTTTAAGAATAGTGAGAAGAATTAGCAGTAGTTGATTTTTTGTTTATTTGCTTTGTATTGACAAACTCATTTTAATTAAATTCAGTTGGCTGTGTACGATCTATTTAAATGTAAGCCGCGGAGCTTAAGCTTAATGAAGTTGTTAAAAGCATTCAAAGCAAACATAGCAAGCTGTACATGTTCGCTGAAAAAGGAAGAGTCTGAAATGGTGAAAATCACTGTCTGAACACCAGGCAATTGCAATTCTTTCTGTTATGGTTAGTTGGTTTTGCAGACTTGTGAATGTCGTATACATTGCAGTAAATTTGGTTAGTTCTTATAGAAGCAGGAAAATCTAAAACTTTGAAAAAGAAACAATGCAGGAGTTCTAAAATGTTTAAGCAATATTGCATAGGAACAATCTGTTTAATTCCTGAAAATAAACGACTGTTCTTTTGCTTTGGCAGAGAATCAGTTCTAAATGGGAAAAGTGTACCCCTTTTAGTATTATCTATTCAGAACCTGTTAAAAAATAAAAATTTAGTGTACTTTACTTTATTCTAGATCCTTCAAACATAGCTAGATATACATCATAAATTAAAAACCCTTTGAAACAAGACGCCATTCACAGTTTTGAATGTAATAAAATCAGTTCTCCAGGTGTGTTTATGTTTCCTAAGCTTGGCATTGCCAGGTCTTTTGCTTGCAGCATGGATTATACTGTCCCATGGCAGTACTGTTGCTGCTTTCTCCTGGGTGAGGATCGCTTTCAGAAGTGCTGAGAGCGTAAATTCAATTTCAGCTTCACCATCCAAGCCAACCTTCCTTTGGATTCTTGCTCTTAGAAAATAATGTAGGAGTAAGTAAGACGCAGGTCGAGGAGAACTCATAATGCAGATGATGATGAAGTATGTCAAGTGGAAACCACTGAGAATTCAATGTACAGTTTTGAACTTGGAACCTTATGTTCCTAGAAGGTGGGACTATAAACTGTCCCACCTTTATATAAACTATAAACCCTCAGTTGCTAAGGAAGAAGACTACCTTAATGCTGGCCACTGGGAGATGAGTTACATCCTTCATTAATACTGGAGTTGTTGTGTGTTGCCAACCCAAAGTAGGAACTTTGTCATGAATGGACTTATTTCAACTGCAAGGGCTGCAGGCAGAGAAACCTACTCTTTTTTTTAAACATCATATTAGAATCTGAACCACGTAGAAGTAGGGGGTCACTGTGCCTGAATGTGTATTTCTTGGAAAAATAGTTACCTTGAGGAATGATGTAGAGAGCTAATGCCATAAGTCCATGTCAGTCCCTCTCTGGTCGGCGCTGACTAAATACTTGAGCACTGGGTTCTTGCCACTTCTGTGGCCCTTCTTTTTCTATTAAAAAATGTGTATGTTCATGCTAGTTTTATCCTCCGTCGTAATTTTTTCCAAAATGTGTTATAACGCCCTTCTGAGTTGAAGGATGTCAGAAATTTCCATCTAAACCTACCAATGTTTGTGTTTTTGTAAGTTGCAAACTTCAGGGATTTAAATCCAGTGGCAGGTGCCTACTTCACACTTAAACCAGGAATTTCCACTTGTGTGTTCTCATAGCCCTGATACTTTTGGCTTGTCTGGAGTGCACTTATCTGCAGGAATGGGTTTTATGCAGAAACCTCCATCATTAAAAATTCTGCAGAAGGAGAAGAGTAGAAGACAGGGGTTATGATCCTCTTCCATGCAGGATTCTTTCATGCAGTGCTCATAGTGCTGTGCTACCCACTTGCAGCATATCCAAAGATGTGGCCTGGCCCTGGCAAGCAATTTAAGCAGCAACTCTACAGAGTTTCCTTTTACCAAGTATAGGTGTCTCCTATGTAATGTGATGATGTGAATCACATCTGAGACACTCAGCATTTCTTCTGCTATTGAGGTGCAGCACTTTGAATAGCTGCTTTGGGAGATGTAGCCCCTTTCTTTTAATGGTGTTCAAAATCATAAAAAAAGCTTTTTATTACATGCTGTGTGAGTGAATTGCCAACATGTACCCACATTTGCCCATATCTACGGAATCACAATATATTGCATTTCACATAGACTGGAATGAAGTACTTGTTGATTGGTTGGTTTTGGTTTTTTTTCTTATAGACAAACATATTCCTGTATCCCAGTGACTAATGTTTCCTAACACTAAACACTAAGGTTTTAGTGTTAAGTGTGAAAAAAAGCATATGCCTTGTCAGAGATTATGGAACTATGCAGATACTATTTCTTAAAAACAGTTGCCAGAAAATTATCTCTTTTTTCCTTATGTAGGTTTGAATACTAGTACTATTTTGTAGTTTGTAGTGCCTTCTATTTAAAAGCAAGTGACAGTAGCTTTTCAGTGTTACTAAGTCAATACTTACATTGTATCTCATACTTTGCTTTTTTCACACACTCTTTGCTCTGCAAAAATCTGGTTTTCTAAAAATGTTCTACACAGTCATGCTGAACACAAGTCTAATGTAGAAGCTTATAGTTCATACTTGTATGCACTGAATGCCAAAAACATTCAGAGTAATTTTAGTGAGTGTACTCCTAGATTACTCTCTTTGTGATATGTTTGAGACATCTTTGTTATCTAGAGATTGTAATTTGGAGTGGACCATTTTACTATAATGTGTTACGATTGTCTAAATTTCTTTGAATTTAATGCTATTTGGTTTTCTTTTTATGTGTTGCTCACAATTTTTAAACATAGTTAAAAGATATACTGTTTCAGTTTTTAAACATTTAGAAGATACACTGTTCCATTTGAAGATACATCAAATCTATCTTCATTTTGTGATAGATAACATTTTGACTGGGTACATAACTGATTATGATTTTTTTTTTTTTACAGATTTTTTTGGTTTATGCTCTATGTTCTGCTTCATCGATTGTGTTATCTGGAAAAGTGATTCTGGAGTATTTACATGAAAAAGCCAAATAAAGTTTTATTTTTTTTTCTATCCTCTTCAGCTTCCTCATGTGTTTGTGAACTGTGTGGAATGCTTTACATCACGACTTCTTTTAGAAGAAATTCTCATCCAGTTGCAACGCTATTCTTCTGAAACAGAACCAACCTCTCCTGTGCCTTGTGATACATTCAATGACTTTGTACGTCTGTTTAAACAGGCTCTTGTGAGTCGAAAGCTTCAAGATCAAACATTGTACATTGTAAGTAATTTAATTTTGATGTCCAGTTTTGTTCCTGTTAAGAGGGAGTAAGTAATTGTTGTTGATAATTTGTATGAGAAATATGTGCCTTATAGAACAGTTTTCACAAAATTTCTGCGTAGACCTCATTCAGAATCTGTTGATAGTGGTTGGATTCTTTCAGTTGGTTTACAAGCTTTAGGAGAGGTTCTCTATTTTTCCTTATTTCAGAATTTTTTCTACACAAATAATGTTTAGCATACCTAACAACATAAATGATACCTCACATTTAAACTGGGGATGTAATAGTGTTACAAAGTCTTTAAACACAGAGAGCCTGCATTTGTTTTATTATTAGTAAGTCGTGCACATCTGTTTCCTTGTGAAAGCCGCTTCACAAACAGGAAAGCAAAGGTGGGGAATAGAGCAGAAGCAAATTACAGAGAATGCGAATGACAAGGCTTGGTTGGCTAGAATAGGTCAAATTAGAATTTATATTAAGGAACTAAAATGCATAGCTTCCTCTGTCAAAGTGCTTTTGAGATCTTACTCCTTCAACTACACTTGTGGCCCTCAGAGGCAAGAACTGTAGTTTTAAAGTTAGGATGGAAAAAAAGACTGCAATGAAAAAAAATTATGATATACTCAAATGGAATAAACAGGCAGACTGCAGGAAAAATAATCAGATTTTAGATTGCAGGAATGATTGAATCAGTGTAGTACTAGAAGTTAGGATTTGGTTTAGGTTTTCTTTTTTAACTGTGATAATCTTAAATACATAAAGGAGTATAACAGCATTTATCGTGCCAGGAGATGAATGTAGAAAGACATTTCGTACAAGAGGTCTGACGAAAGGATAATATGAAGGTCATAGTATTAGTGATGTGTAAATGAATGTGTACATTGTGGACCTGCAAAAGATGTGGACTGACACTTCTTGCATGGTAGGAAATTAGTTTTTTTTTAAAAGAGGTTAAATTGATTATTTAAGAAAACATGAAAGTGGTTCAAGATTGAGAGCTTAATGACCCTGGTAATCACTCTGCATGTTTATCACAGCTGTTGATGTGCCCATAATGCTTTGGGGGGTTTTTGCAGTCAGACAAGAAATCCATAATTATACTGATCATTCTTCATTCCGTTTCACAGGTTATAGTTAAATAAGTTTCATTTCCATTTAAAAATACTTAACCACTGAGTTAAATAACTTCATATTATGTTTAGTGGAAAGAGTACTATCTCATAGTTTCCTACAGGTCATGAAGTTAATAAATTTGACATAATTCTTAGAAATCAAATGAAGGAAAAAATGTACCACCAACACTTAAAACAGATAAGAAGTTATAAATAGACAATTTAATTTACCATCACAAAAGTGGTATTGGCATTATTCAGCGATTCCATAAGGACAAAATTTGTCTCTATAATAACTTGTAGTGAGTTTCACAAAATGCTTTTTATAGTAAAATTTTACTTTCAAATTAGTATTTGGATTAAAAAACTGTTCTACATCAGTAAAGAATTCTTCATGTATACTATATAAATTGGCATCTCTCAGAAAATTAGAAAGTTCTTGAACAATTGGTTATAAAAAACAAACCATTAAATAACTATAAAGGTTCAGTTGCATCATGAAATTAGTTGTTGCTTCAGAAGAATTAAGTATTAAATTAGTATTTCAGTTCCTTTCTGTATGAGAACAGACAGGAATGGGAGAAATCAATTCATGTTTATTAACCTATGTCATCTGGATTTATTGTAGGGTTTTAAACTGAGGGTGATGGAAAGACCAGCATGCTGGTAACATAAACTGGCAATGCCAACTTACTCTATTTCATTTCAGTTGTAAATAATGTACTATTTCAGCTCAATTAACTCAGAGTAAATTAAGATAAATGTTTACTTTCAAGCCAAGAATCCTTAATGTTTCTCTTAAACCAAGTATGAGTGCTGAATTCTTGTGATTACTTATGCAAAATGAATTTATTCATTTTAACTACCTGAAAAATTGTAGCAGATATAACTTGTAGTCATTCAGACATTTACAATATTTAGCACTTTACAGAGTAACAAGCTACTGTTTTTAATGTAAATGAGCAGCCAGTTCAAAATGTGTAGTTGCTTTAAAAAATTGAAGGGTAACAAGTCTGTATCGACATTAAAGAATAAGGCATAGACTCATAAGCCTTGGGGTGGACTGTTTCTATTGAACCATTTGACATGCTCCAAAAGCCAGGGTCACAGTATATTTTCTGCTGTAGAAACTGTAGTTTGTTTCCCATTTAACTAAAAAGTATGATCTACTTTAAGGTCAAGACCTTAAAGCTGTCTGTTTGATAGCTGCATGTTGCTGGGTCCAGTAAGCAGTATTTTTATTTGTAAGAATATGTAGCCTCTATTTGGTCAGTTGTGTAGTACAGTCTTCATTCCTGAAGTCATTTATTCTATGAGCCACACAGATGTCAATATGAAGTCAGATATATTGTACTGTAGTTTTAAATAAATTCCCAAGAAGTGTGAGATATTGTTGCAGAGATACTACTCCTTCAGGTTTGTGTGGTGGGATTTTTAAGTAATATATTCATAAGATGCTTGGTTGTCCACATAAAATTCTTTTCCTTGCTGTGGGCAACAGAAATGATAGATGTTAAGATTTTGGTGGAGAGAGGATATGTAATAGGATAGAAAAATATAATTTTCTAGGGACCTAGAGTTTTTCTTTCAACAGCAGTAATTCAAAAGAGGTAATGAATTTCAGAATTTAGATTTATACTGCGAGTAGTAAATAAACCACAGAAGATGTGTTTCTGTTATCTTTTTCATTCTTGTCAAAATTTTAAGGGTATTGAGAATACACATTTTTTTTTTGCCAGAGGATAACCATGCATGTTTTTGTACTTCTGTTTTTATTCTCCAGGTTCCAAAATGTTAATTTAGCTTAAAGTGTTTCCTATTTAAGCTATACATATGCAACATATCTGTTACTGCTACGTGAGGTTTGCATGCAGTAAGTCCTGTAAATTTCTAGGCTGCAAACTATGGCAAGAAAAGTTTCTCTCAAAATTCAATTCAGTGAATTCTGGATGATAGCTTATTTCTCCTAAAATATCAACTCTTGCTTGTTTCTGAAAAATAATTCCGTAGTGGGAAAAGATAACTCTGCTAGAGTAAGCGTGTAGTTACACTGCTACAGTACTACATGTAAGTTTGAAAAATAATAAGAATTTTGGGGAAAAATTGAGCTTTCAATGGTTGATAATGATATCATGACTTTGTCAGTGGTATTTCTGACTGGTATACTTAAGTATTAATTCTTACTGCCATAAGGCATGAGAATGTTGCTTGTCAGGGGATTGTATCTTTTTTTGGATCGGAGCTGCTCGGGCTTCCTGGAAGCACATTTCAAGCAATAATCTCTCCAATTCAGTTTCCAGCAGCTAAGAATTAATTTTAAGTCCGTGTGAGAGTGGAAGTTGATACTGTCTATATAATAATGTTTTGTTAAAAGGTACTGGATAGAGCAGAACAGCTGAGGGAAATGGAAGCAAACATCCTGCCAGCATTTCTTAGGCTTCAAGAGTTGGTAAGTATCTGGGAAAAAACATATGTGTCCTGCATATTGGAAGTAACTGAACATGTGGCATCTGTCCATCTAGGCTCACAGATAAAGATAAGTGATTCCTTAGAGAAGAAAAGTTGCAAAATTAACCCTTAGCCCCCCAGAACAGTCATCAAAATTAGAAACCAAACCAAAATTTAAACACTGTCAGGTTTTTATTACACTTTTTTTTTTTAATTGGGTTTAATGGTATATTATTTTACCTATCTGATGTGTTGTAGATTCATTTGAGGCTGGTGTCAAAGATGCATGCTATCTTTTCTACATTATTTTTTTATTTTTCAGAATGAGATTTTTCAGTAGACTACCAGCTGCTTTGGGTGGGGCTGCTCAGCAGCTGTGAATGTGTTTTGTGTTGGTAGAGAGTTTTTACACTTCTTCTGGAATTGCACGGCAGTGAGTTTCTGATTGGAGTAAACCACTGTGTGTCTCCCTTTCTCACTTCTGAAGCATCCAGGCTTTTTGCCTTGGAATAATGAAAAATGGTGCATTCTCTGAAAAGAAGCTGAAGACAAAATCAGAAGATGCTGTTACTTTGAAATGTCTGAACATCTAAATAACTGAAATTATACTTATCTCAAGACTTTTGTGCGGTGCCCTTAATCTTCTGGTGACACTGATTCTCTATTTACTGAATGATTCACAGCTGTGTTCTTAATCCTGGCAGCTGGTGCATTTTTCTGGCTCTTTTTGTCTGTTCTGGCCATGTTCTGGACTTTACTGCTCTTGAAGCAGAAACAACCTGTTCTGCAGAGAAAGGAGGAAATCTTGTGTCTGTGAGTGCTGTTCAGAGACCAAAAAACCATAGACTAAGACTTAAATGTAACAAAGAAACATCCTCAAATTCAAAACTAACCTCCAATTAAGTTTGTCAGCTTTCTTGAATGCTGATATTCCAGTTGCTTAAATTCTGGATTCTGGACTGAGGCTTTCTAAAACTCTTGTGCAGCTGATGTTGCAGAGCAATGTTGGAGGAGCAAATCTACTCCATTGCTTTCTTTCCTGCAGTGAAAGGAGACAAGAAATTGCATTAGTAGTGAGGGATTTCACGGGACTGGAGGATTACTGATAAAGAACAGGTCATTGGATGCTTGATTTCTGTGAGGACTGTGGTTGGAAGTACTGAAGTTTTCATATTGGAAAATCAGTCAGGAACTGAACTGAACATACCTTAGTACTTCTGTCAGGTGAAACACTAGATCTGGGAGAGGAGCACAATTGAAAGAAATCTACAGAAAGATGCTTTCTTGTTAAAAGGAAAAAAAATTCATAAAAACAGAGGAAGAAAGAACAGTAAAGAATATGGGTGGGTGCCACTTCGACAAGAAGTGGGAAGAGTAAGTAAAAGAAGATTCTCCCTCGGTTTCAGGGAAGGGAATAAATAGCATTTAAACTTTTCTTTCAGGTCATTCACAGCACTGTCATTTCAATCAGGTTCCTTCCTTTTGTTTTCTTGAGATTCTTCAATAGTTTTCTTGAAGAACCATATTTAAAAGCATCTTTCATTGTGCAGAATTTCTAGTATGCTTGCATAAACCTTGCAAAAAAGGAGAATGACACATCATCTTCACAGGCAGTTAGTTTCACATTAAATAGTTAATATTTTGAAGGGTGACTGAAATAGGGAATATTATTTTAATATGAAGCATTTTGTTAACTGTTGTCCAAAACATCAAACTCGAGGTAGGTAGTTGATCAATAAAAACTTGGTTACAAAGAGTATGTTATTATGAACAGCTGTTGTTGGTTACTAGTAAGACAGTTGGGAGAGTAAACAGGTAATACTACATTTGTTTTGGGATGTGTGTGTTTGTTTTTAAAGACCAGATTACCTATAAAATAACATAGAAGAGAGCTTGGTTTTAGAAGTGCTGAACTTCCTTTTGCTTCTTAACTTTTCCTGTTTGCTTTGAAAATCTGGGTTTAATTACCAAAGTAAAATGCTCCCTTAATTTTGGAAGTAAGGGGTGGAATATATTAGGTATTGTGTAGTACCAGAGCTATACCACCCCACGGAGCTTATATGTCAGTGAAATGGCAAAGGATGCAGAGAAATATCATATAATTATGAAAATTTGCAAATGTATGAGCTGCCTGATTAGGCCAGCTGAAGCATTATTACTATGCTAGTAATTTGTATTAAACTGTAAATTTGATGATTTTTGTGGAACAGAAAAGTCACAATAATAATTTTTCTCATTGATGCTCTAACATGCACTGTTATTTTGTTCTTTCTCTGCTTGTCTCTCTCTCTGTCATTTTTTTTCTCCTCCCTTTGTAGACTGACAGTAATGTGACAGTTGTCCTGCTCAGTGAAATAGTGTGGGAACTGTTCCGTCCAAACATGGGATGCTTTGATCCACTCACTTTGTATTTTCCTGATTACAGCATAGGTAAACTGATTCTTAAATTTGCTTCTCAGGGACTATATAGTATTTTGTCAAAGAATGTTCAAAAGTTTGTTCCATTTCTCAGTGGGCCTTCTGCAGGATTCAGGGTATGTAATAGCTACTGGAAGATAAAAGTCTATATTCACACAACCTCCAAAAGAATTGTCTATTTCCGCTGGCCAAAACATCTCAAAGTAACGTTTTGGTTCCATTTTATTTGCTGGTTCTTTAAAACAGTGTAGATTTTGGTGGGTTGTGTTGGGGTGTTTTTAAGTGATGATTATAGTTTGTTTTTGCACTTTTAAATGGGGTCACTTGGCTTTAAATAAGCAAAATTTATTTTTGTTTAAACAGGACATCTGCAGAAGATCTTGTCTCAGAATCATCCCCCAGAATATACTGCAGATTTCTATTCTGCATATATCAATATTCTGCTTGGTGTCTTCTACATGGTCTGTAGGGACCTGAAAGAACTTCGGCATCTGGTGAGATGAGCTTCTTGAGAGTTGCTGCTTTGGTTTGGGGTGTCTTGGGCCAAATGGGCTCTGAAAGTCTTGATTTATTGTTGAATATGGACAAAATTTAAATCAGAATTATAGAATGGGTTGGATTAGAAGGGGCCTTTAAAGTTTATCTGTTCCAGCCCCTCTGCCATTGACAGGGACACTGTACACTAGATCAGGTTGCTCAAAGCTCCATCCAACCTGGGCTAACACTTGCAGGGATAGGGCATTCAAGTTCCTTTTGGCAGCCTAGGTGAGCTCTTTCAGTGTCTCACCACCCTCATTGTAAAAAATGTCGACCTTATATCTAATGTAAATCTTCCCTCTAAGAATGTGTTAGCTCAAAATGCAGTTTCCCTAAAAATCCATAACAAAGGTTGCAGTTATTTTGGTGACTGTAATGGGCTTCCAGTGCTGTGTGGTTTTCTGGTAATGGATTGAAGGTATTTGGAAAAAGGAGTTTTAACCATATACCAATTGAATAATGTGATAGTAAGCAAACTTAAGAGAAGAAAAATGGCAGGCACTTGATGGTGGCCTTTGTGTTAGAAAAGCTTAATAACAGTAACAAGTAATTAGCTCATCAGATTATTATTTAAATAACTGTACTCCATACGATGAAATTTTACAAATGGCCAGTGAACAAATCAGTGCTAGAGAGATGATCTGAATGTTCTCCCTCCATTTCCCTTGGGAACATGTTGCTATGCTTCAGCTGAACTTATCCATAAACCATACAGGTTTTATATTTAAATGAGGTTGCTGGAGACACAAATAGAAACCAGGGTCACAGTTCTTGGCAGACATGTTCTTGAGTGGCTCTGCTTATGAGAATTTTGTTAGCTTTAGATGCTCTGTTTGTGTGCTTGTGAAATACCAATATTATGAAAATACATGCTTAATTGGGCCTTAAATTCTTTTTGTGATTGACAAGTCTATTCTCTAGAAGATAGTGACAGACACGTACAACTGACTGTACACTTCTGAACAACCCCTCACTGTCTAGTAGAGACTCTAAATGTGTATGCCATCATATGTGATTATTAATAATATATTCTGGAGTTTTATTAGATTTATATATGGAAGTTACTGGGAATTTCATTAGATTTATATATGGAAGTTAGTGCATTGAGTTTTGTGTACTAACACAGAGATTTATTAAAGTGTAGTAGGAGAAAAGGAGAATGAGAGCTGAGGATTGTTATTTTATGAAATTCAGTGTGATATTGATTTAAGCATTTTCTGGATTACAGTGTTGTCAAAAATCTCTCTTACCTTAGGCAAAAGGAGTTTGTTTGAATATGGAACGTGTTAGGAGGGTATTTTATGGTTGCTTGTTTTTTTCAAATAAATAATTTCTGCTTGTGTGTCCGTATGTGTGGCAGACACATGTTCTCCTACTGGAGGACATGCTAAGCTGCTCCTGGAATGGAACGTTTTTTCTAAAAATGGAGTAAAAAAAGTTTGAAAACATTTTTATTGCATTTATAATCTTAAATAATTATGGTAAAAAAAAAAAAAGGCAGCCCCTGAGTTCCGTAAACATATTTTGCCAGGCTCAAAACCAAGTAACCTGTGATAAATTACTTATGTTTGTATTTTATGGTACAGAAATGTTGCTGTGTTTTACAGTATATTGTTTCTAAGCAAGTGGCATAATTATTGACTGAAAAAGGATTTGTTGGTTTTGCGAAGGAATGATTTGCTCTGCTAGGTATATTCTGTAGCTGTATCAAATATATAGTACCCTTTTAATACATTGAATTATTTTTCTTTCTGTAGGCAGCGCTCAACTTTTCTAAGTACTGTGAACCAGTGGTCAGAGGGGAAGGTAAGCCTTTGTCTTTTATTTGAGTGGGTGTATGAGAGAGCAGGTGCTGTTCTGTGGGTTTTGTGGAGGACTTTGCTTTGATCCTCACTGTGTCGTAACACAGGGGTTTCTTGACTCACAACAGCATTGCTTATTCCAGTTGCACCCAGCCAGAAGTGTTTGCAGCAGAAGCAGTAGATGGTATTCAGTGGTGGTTTTTTTAGGAAAGAGAGGCTGAAATACCATGAAAACTTTCCTCCTCTCTGTAAATCCTTATCCTCACTCAACCACCAGGACTTCTGCAAAGTAATGGAGTAGGTGATTTCTCTGTCAAGGCTAAGAGGAAAAACTGGGAGGAGAAGTTGTGTCAAACTGACCCAGATTATCTTGAAAGAGCCACAGAGGAACAGCCTTGCATGGCAGCACGTGCTTGCTGGATGGGTGGTGATGGTGCACCATCCTAAAACAGAGTCGGCATGTTTGACTGTGTCATTCCTGTGACTGTTCAGGTGTCAAAGATGAGTTTTAGCGTTGTGTGAGTTAAGAGTTTAACAGCTTTGATTCTGGCTTGGTGCAGCAAATGAGCGCGACACCCGCAAACTCTGGAAAAATATTGAACCTCATCTGAAGAAGGCAATGCAGACCGTTTATCTCCGGGAAATATCCAGGTAATTTGGGGGACAAGGGCTTGTTTGCTTTGTTGAGGTTGCTGTTTTTAACAAGCTTCCTCTGTAAATATTTCTCAATTACGTTTCATGGCTAGTGGTTTGGTTTTTTTGCTAGATGTAATCTTTTTTCTTTAACATGCATTTCTTTTTTATCATCTCCTCTTAGAAGTAGCGTATCTTGGGAGGAAGTTTAAACAACGTGGCATTTGTAGCATATAATGGATTCAATAAGTAAGGCAGTGGCAACAGGTTGTGTTCTCCTTTTCACTGATGACCATACAGATAGATCCATTTTCTGTAACACATGAAAGTGCCAAGCATGGGAATCCATCACCACAATATACAGACACAGTTTATAAAACACTTGTAAGGTTGGCTCGGCAGACCCTCACTGTACCAAGGATGTATGCAAGCCACAAAATTCTTGAATCTTTACAGATTTGGAATATCTGTGTTTCTTAGCTGTGTGTGAAGGAGCTAGGTTTGTTTACTGTGCTTTCTTATTTTCTCTTCCAAGGGCAAAATTTTTCTTACATGGAGTTGCCGTTTTTGACAGCATTAAAAGCTAATGTCCTGCTAATGGGCTGTTTCTCTTGGTAGATTCCTTGTTTATTTTTGTAAGTTGACAGCTAGAAAAAAGAGATGGTGGTGTTCATTTTCAGTGCTAATAATTGGCTAGATTTGATTTTTTTCTCCATCTGTAAGTCGAGTGATTCTGATGTTACACCATGTAAAGAGAGATAATTTAGTATTGCTTGATTTCTTTATCTTGATAAAAGCATACTGATTTCTTTCCTTTGAATGTCATTGAGGCCATAGAGTATTCTGGTGACTGAACTTGACTGTGTAGTAGAAGTCTTTGCTAATGTTTTAGAAAAGTGATTGTGGCTTCAAAAAGAGAATTGATTTTACTTTGTACAAGCTTGACTTCACAGTCCAACGAGGCATTTTTCTGTTTGCCTCAAATATTTATTTATATTCAATATTGATCTTCATTACCCAGTCTACTCAGGATCTTCCTGACTTTTTACGCTGTGTAATTGCCTGCTCTAATTAGGGTGTAATAAAAGATTATGATACAAAATAGCTTATGAATTGTTTCCAAATAACTAATTTCCCTCTTTACAGTTTTCTTTGATTATAAATTTGAGCTTATCTGGGTTTTTATTAGAAATTTCAGCTTTCTGTATAATAGTTCTAGAATTTACCTCTGTGGACTAGTAAATGCTTGAGGAATTAAAATCACTCTATCAGTTTTTCTGGCCACAGAACTGTGATTAGTCTGGTTTTTTTCTTGAAGCTGTAATTTATAGCAATAGAACTTTGCTATCAGCTGCTGTGCTACCTGAAAATGAACTTTTTTTTTTTTTTTTCTGCCAGTAAAACAGATGTTGGATAAAACTTTACCTCACTGATAATTTGGTTGGTCATTCATTATAATTTGAGTGTTACCTGAGCTGTCATTACACTGTTTTTTTAAGTCTTATGGCTAATAAACCCTGTTCATAAGAAAGTTTAAAAAGCAAACCAAAACAACACTGGTGCTTTTAGAACTTTTTTTTTATCCCTTTGTGGTATACAAAATGATCCAAAATATGAAATTTTGAGCAATGTTATTGCCTAAGTGAAGTTTTAAAGTAAAATTTTTTCCTTTTGTTTAGTAAAACACTAAACTGCTTGCAGACATTTTTTCACTGACAGTGATCCATCTTGATGTCTTCAGAGTTTTTCAGTGAAGAATGAATATTGCTTTGGTTTTTACATAAACTTCAAAGTTACATTATGGAGTAATTATAGTATTGTTCTGACAAACATACGCAATTATTAAGCAGGTTAAAAAAATCAAAACTGTTGGTGTTTTTACTTCTTATCCAATTCTGCATTATTCTTGAGACTTGGAGTGTTATTGATATTTGCTCACTGGTGGTAGTTGGATGGAAGGAAGTTGGTATTTTATAATTAGCTTTTTTACTTTTGTACCTTATTGTAATGTTATTTTTTGCCTTTTTTTCTTTTCAAGTATGCATAGTCTGCACATTATTGAAACTTATGTGTGAGGTAATAAGACCTCATATTTTTAATTATTCTCTTACTAACTATACCCTAGCCAAGATCATGAAATTAAAATATACATATACCAAGCAGGTAGTTTTCTCTAAAAGACTAACAAATAGTATTTATTTATTTCCATTATCTGTCTTTTAGCTCACAGTGGGAGCGCTTACAGCATGATGATGGAGAGCCTGGGCAGTTGAAAGGTATCAAGTACAATAATTGTGTAGGGGCTTGTAATGTGAAATGTGGGCTTTTCAATTTGTCTTGGTTGTTTTTATCTGAGAATGTATGAGTGAAACTACATAGATGAGACCATCTGTCAGTGTTCAGTTACAGTTCAAGGTGATCATGTTTTTTGAGAAGGTGTTCTACAAAGCACTATTGCTATTTTTTTTCCCTTGCCATGTATTCTGGGAGTAATCTTCCCTAAGATCCTTTGTGGGTAGAAGTAGACTTTGTATGTAAGAATGGATGAGGAATGGGCTGACCCCTGATGGCCAAACCTCTGTGTGCCAGATGGAGGCACACGTGTGTCCAAGTGGGGAGAAGAGAATGTTATATCTGTTGTCTTGCACTGGATTAGCCCATTCCTAAACAAAGCACCTGCCCTGTGTCCTGATTTCTTGGCAAAGAGAAATGTTAGAATTGCAGGCATTCTCTCTGTTCTTTCCTTGGACGAGTGCAGCTTTAGGAATACTAAATTATTTTCCTGGTAATGGCATTTAGTCATGGTCTTTTGATCAGTTTGTAGCTGAACGGTTTTTATCATACTGTTTTTCGTTACATAATTTCTTCATTAGATAGTATGTAAAATAGCCACTTATTTTTTAAAACTATATAATGTTAATTGCAATCATCAAACTGTTTCCTGTATTTGCTTTATGGTCAGTGATTTTTTAACAGTGTTGCCCAAAGGAGTTTGAATCAAAGTGTTTTTATTAAACTCCCTCCTTCCATGTCTAAATGATCATGAAATACTTTTACAACTGACAGCCTCAAAAAAGGAGATTTTATTTAAAATACATTTTCTCAGTATATGTAGTGGGTAAAATTGTCATGTTATTAAACGGCATTTGATAATAACATGCTTAAAAAGCAATTATAATAAATGTTACTCTGGGTCTAGGTAAGTAGATAGTACAGTGTACTTCAGTATTGTCTGACCAGAAGAATGGAGTAAAAATAGATATTTCTGTATTAAACTAAATTGTCTATATGTAAGAGTTTATTTGGAGTGGCATTGTATAATTAACATGCAACACAAAAGAATCTCTTGTAAATTGTACAAAAACTGCTACTCTTTTATGCCTAGATAAGACAAAATTATTCCTAGCTGTCATCTAGGATGCTTCTTGTCACGCTGCAGGCTCTGAATCTTAACTTTTAAAGATGTTTTATTCCTTGATCTTTATTTGCTGTTATTTGTGGATTAAAACAAAAGGGTACAGGTGCTTTATAAAAAAAACAACCATTGAAGTAGAAACCTGTGACCAAAGAAGACACAAAGAGACCCTTTAATGGTCTCCACAGTTAGACAGCTGATGAATAAGGTGGTTTGATGATGCTATTCTTATGCATAAGCTGTTTAAAACAAGAGCAGGGGACTGTAAAGGTAAAAAATACAAACTAAAAGTAAAAAAGAGGGAAGGCAAATACTCACTAGATTGCAGTTCTTGTGTGTTTTAATGTGTGAAACTTTTATCTTAATGAAGTATACATGTAGCAAGCAAGGTTAACCGGATCGAGTTTAAAATTTTTAAAACCTTTTCTGTAGGAAATAAAACAGTGGCTAAAAATTGTGAGATGAACAGTTTCTCAGAACTGCAGCATTGCTGCATTCTTCACTGTGCCAGCCCTGTTCCTGGGTGAGCTGTTTGGCACAGTGTGGAGCAGTCTGAAGGCTGCGTCTTGAAGAAAAGCTTTGACATTGTATTTAAATACATCTCTTCATCTGCCCTGCTTGCTGGGGAAATTACCTTAAATGATAGTAGCCTAGAAGTATTTATATATTTTTAGGAAGGCTTATGAATCTCCAATGTTCAAATACAGTTTTCTGAGTCCAAAAAGGCTTCAGGTTGTTAGTTTTGTTTAGGTTTGTGCCCTTCCCTGAGTTTGTATCTGTGATAAAGGGGTTGAGAAAGTAGCCATACTCATTTAGTTACAGGAGTAGAGCAGGAGAGAAGGAAAAGAAGAAGAATGCAGACAAGTCTGATTTGAAGCTTGTGGGTGTTCATACTGGGTTTTGGTGACTCATAAACTGTTTGTTTATTTTATAGGACTTTCTGCACATACACATGTGGAACTTCCTTATTACTCCAAATTTCTTCTGATAGCTGCTTACCTTGCCTCCTACAATCCTGTTAGGACAGATAAGAGATTCTTTCTTAAGGTAATGAGATTTATTACTTAGTGCTGCTTACTGGATTCTCCTGCATACTGAATTTACTAGTTTAAAACTCTTCAGCTGTTCATTTTGAGCTGTTTCTGTGTGTCCTTCATTTGATTTGATCAGAAGCTTTTCTGTAGATCGCATATTGTAATTGGTAATGTTCACTTAGTGAGGGTAAGGGTCTAATAAACCTAACTTCCTCTTCGTGTCAAAATATGTGTAACGTGGTTTTGTAAGTTGATGCAGCTCTGTTTTGAAAATATTGTAGTGGAGTGTCTGTAATGGCCTGACATATAAGCCACGCTTAAATTTCTGAAGGAAGGTCTAACCCACAACTGCTTTAGCCTTTAATGAGATAAAATGACATAGTGCATTGCTAACTTATTTATACAGTTTTAAGCTTCTGGAACAGAAACATGGAAGCAGTTGCTTTTGCAGAAGATAGGGTGCCATTAGCTGGAATGTGTGGTGTTGATGCAGTGGTAATGCTTGTTTTAGGATTAATGTAATGCAATTAGGCTTTTATGCATTTTACCAGTTCTTACAGTATGTATTGATATGTGCATGTGTGTATGAGTGTATGAAGTTCATGTTGGATTAGTGTAAGCAGTTGAAGAAAATGATTGCAAGACAAATTTGTAAACATATTTTTCTTTGAAGAAAACAATAAAAAATCATAGATATATTTTGAGAAGTTACTGCAGTTGCTAGTGATGATATACTAGTATGGTTTTAGTTTAAATTTAGTTTAAATATTGGTTTTATGTTTCTGATATGATCTTACTGAAAGCTGTAGGTGTTTCACCCTTGTAGTAAGTGTAGTCAGAAAAGTTTTCTTTGTGGGCAAACTTTGTACTTTTCTCTTGGCTAAAGCAATTTCTTACTTAGAGATTTATTTGCTGAGAAAGTGTTTCTGTACAGATTTTTCCATATCAGTCTTGAAACTCAAAGAAGTAGGACATCTTACAAGAGTCAAGTCAGTAAAGCATGTTATCAAAATGTGCCACATCTTTCTTGTTTGTGTTCACTGAACAACCTTCTCCATTTAATTTTTTTCCTTTTTCCTTTTATAGTATCTCTGAGTTAATTTCCTCTCTTGTACATGAACCCAACTACACCTTTGTACAATAAACATGAGTTTCTAAGTTTTTTGAAGCAGGGACCTTGAAGGTATTTCGATCAGTGCTAGTAGGTATTTTCCTCAAGAATTGGTGAAGCAGAAGCTACCATGTTAGCTACATGTGTCATCTGGTAACAGTTAGCCCTTCAGCAGGTCTAAAGTTGAATTTCAGAAATAGCTGCCCCAACAAAATCAATGCGTTTGGGTAGAGTTTCAAGCTGAGTGTTTTTACGCGTCATGTGAACAGTGGAAATAGAGTATGGTTTTTACACGGTTTGCGATGAGATTCAGAGTAGATTACAGAAAAGTGTCTTCTGGAGTGATTTAGGTAAGGATTAGTAGACAGCAAAAGGGATGCAAACAAAAATGATGTTCATTGAGCTGATAATCTGCACTACTCTGTAGGGGCTAGGCTGTACCACAGCTAAAAATAAAGTCACGGTTTGTGGCAGCCTGGAATGCTAACAGCCAGCAAAGCAGGGAAGTGGTAATTGGCATCACTGCTATTGTGTGAAAATTTGAGCTTTGCAGAAGATGGAGAGAAAAATATGAAGCTGGTTTGGAAGGTAGTCTTTAAAACGAGAAAGAATAGCAGTAGATATATAAGAAGTCTTTAACAGAAAACAGCATTAAAAGCTAATTGAAAATTACCTCCGAATTTCATGTTTCTTTGTGCTTGCACAGAAATAGGGCACCTGCTCTCTTGCTTTAAAACACTTCTGATATAACTTAAATACACCATGTGGAGATCCCAGTGTAACCTTTAAAATGCATGAATGGAGTTTGTTGTGATCCATCCCAAGCCTCCTGTGTAACCTCAGGCTTGATCACTTTCCCTTCTGAAAGGTCACGCTTATATCATTGAAGTCTTCTTTTCAGAGGCATGATAAAAAGATTAATTTGCTGTCTCCAAGCATCTGTGATATTTATTAACTGACTGAACCACTTTTTTTTAATCTGACAAATCATGTAAGGGAAATTAAGCCCTGTCTAATATTAAGCTCCTCAGAAGTCAGTCAAGGGAAGCCACATTTACTGAGATCATTTTAACTGAGTATTGAGGACCACAAATACCAAGTACAAGATTTTAAATATTAAAATGACCAAATAATTCCGTTATTTGAGTAATTTTTTTCCCTGATTCATTGAGCATGTTTATAAGGTATACTTATTAATAAGGTATACTTGTCAGGGCTGTAGAAGTACTCATCAGGTGATATTTTGAGAAATAGCACTTACTTGTATTTGAAGAATATTATACATGTACCTCTCCACTAATTTTACATCACTTACACTTGTCACCTTTCATGTCTCTCCTGGTCTTTTTTATTTCTTTTTTTAACCCATTCATTTTTAACATCTTGTTTACTATATTTCTGTCCTTGTCTTTCCCTCACATTTTCAGTTGAGATCCAGGAGCACTTTATTTTCTTTGGATAGTCCTTCTTTTCTTAATACTGCTTTTAAGGTGCAGCTTTCTAAATGATGTTCCTCTCTTCGACACCCACCCCCCATCCTGCTCTCCTCCTTCCTTTTGTTATTTAGCTCATGCGCCTTGACCTATCTTTGTATTGTATTGATTAAATTCCTGGTTGTCATTCTGCCAACTTGTGTACCATCCAAATTCTAAAATGGGGTCAATAAAAGGTGAAAATTCAGATGGATTTTATGTGTGGATAAATTTTAAAAATAAAGTAGCCATCATTTAAACTTTTCTGGAAAGAGAAAGAAATGAAACATGTTTTTTTTTTTCATTAGATGATTAGGGATATGAGGAGAATAGTGGTATGAAGTAATATTAAAAACAAATTTTTGCTGTCTTTTCTTATCAGTCCCTTATTACATGAGCAAAATCCCTTACATTACCAAAAACTATTAGCATGCTGGTTTTTGGCTTTGTGCCACTTGGGACATGATGAAACAGGAAGTAAGGCAAGTGTAATTTTAGGGCTTGAGAGTAAGAACAGTTGGTGTTAACATCAGAGACAAATACTGGAGATGCAGTAAAGAAGTAGCCCTAGAGTAAAATACTGCCATTTGTAGCATATATATTCTTTGTTGACTGTTTTGATTCCATCTTTGCTCTTGTCGGTTGTTTGCAGCATCATGGGAAAATTAAAAAGACCAATTTTATGAAGAAACATGAGAAGGTATGTACTTTATCTTTCTAAGCTGAGCTTGGCAGCAGGTCTTTTCTTTCTGCTGTACTTGTAGTTTTGTATTTTGTGTCATTGACTATTGCAGAAACGGCAGAATTGCCTTAATAGCAATTATTGATGCATTTGTTTTTTGTGATACAAATTTCTGTGCCATACACACGTTCTGATTTTATTGGCACTGTAGCATAAAGTTGTCTCCTAAAGGCACGTTTTTGTGTGTAGCAAACTGTGTTTCATAAAGGTAGTTAAAGACATTATAGGTGGAGGAGCCAAATTTCAGAATTTGTCTGAAAAGAGGATTCTGTATTCTTTAAAGAATTACTGTAGAAAGAATTCTATATTGAGGGAAACAGAAACGTAGGGATAAAGTATTACACATGTAGTGTTATAAATAAAGACTCGTTTTCTTCAGTTGGTGTGGCAGTTTATATCAATATGCCTTCTAAAGACTTGATTTACAGATCAGATTCACCCAACTCCAGTGGGTGTCTGCTTCTAAAATAGTGTCTTTTTATAGCCAAGTGCAGGGCCAGTTGATGCAGCTGTTGGAGCGTAGGGTGAGATTTGGCTCCTATTAAAGTAGGTTCTACGTTCAGTCAGATGAATTGCACCACAAATTGTATGATTAGATTTCTACTGCCTATAATGGGAACTTAGGAAACTAGTTTGGCTGTACATACCTGCTTGGCAGGAAGCTAACATTAGGTGAAATACATCCTTCCTTGAAAGTTTAGGTACAGCAAGACCAAAAACCTGTTTTGTGACTCTTAACTCTGTTCAGTCCAGACACCAAGAGGTTTTTTTAATTAGTAAAAAATGAATCTTGTGAATGAGGTGAAGAAATTGACTTTATCATTCTGTTCATTGCTCTGTTGATGATAACAGCAGAATTTTGGGGGTTTCTTTGCATGGTTGCAGATAATTTAGTTTGGGTTAAGCTTTTACTCTTTAAAGAGCACTTGTGGTTCTCGTTCTTGTTGGTGAAATTTTGGAATGTGAATACATGGCTTGCAGTTGAGGGATGGTGCCAGGTGAGCAGTGGGAACATGAACCTGACACTCCAGATAAAAAGCACAAGCACAGGTAGTGACAACTGGGGAAAAATCTTTCTTGAACAATGAATGTACTACTGAGGTGGAAAGATGGTAGAGGATACACAGAATTAATTTGATGGCTATAAAACTTTTTGACCAGGTTTTCTGACTGTGGAAGGTATCTTTCTTTTTAAGAGAGATGTTGGGTCCATTGCATTTTTATGACTACTAGTCTGTGTAGCATTCTGCCTTATCTCCATGCAGAAGATTTGTATAATTCTTTATCATGTTATGTTTGAAGGAGTTTCTAAACCATTCTTACTATTCCAAGAATTTATTTCTGTTCAAGAAATAAAAAAAAAGTGCTTTTTCTAGCTTTTCTAGAGGAAAGCATTTCTCTTACATAATTGGAAAGCTCCAAACAGTATTCTGTCTCAACAGAGAGCTGATAATACTAAGAGCAATAAATTTCTGAAGTAACTGTATATACTAAACAGAGTTTCAGAGATTACTGCATGCTAATTGCATTTGCTAGCTGCTTGGAGTGCACCCATTTTAATTACTATGTTTGTTGACTTTTTCTGTTGATAATAACGATTATGCTTCACAGAACTGGCATGTTTAGAAGCAGAAGGACAGTTCATAACTTACACCAGGTCTGCGTTCTGACTGAGAGTGCTATACTAAGGTTTTGACTACATATTTTCATGATTTTTTACACTGCTTGCTTTGTTAGCCAAGAGGTAGCTTTGGGGACACCTCCTGGATTGGAAAAGTTAAAACATGTATTGGAAATACCTTTTGGTTTTGCTGAATAAGTGAGTGGTTGTGTTTTACTGATGATTAACATCACAGAGGTGCTGGTGGTGCATCTGAGAAGTTCTTTGCCAGAAGCATTTTGAAACAAACTTTCTCTTTAAAATCCTCTTTAATCTTAGTTGCTCTGCTGGTAAGAATAAATCAATGTGCTGTACAAAAAAGGCAACTAGATGTCAAAGTAGAGAGAATTAAATTCAAACTTAAAAGGAAACAAGTATTTCCCTTGTAAGAACTTTTGTAAGTGTTGATCCTAAATCTGTGTTGTCCTAACTATACTGCCTGAGTTGTAATACTACCCAAATCTGCCTTACAAACTGTATTTCTTTTTTGTAAAATTAGTTATTTAAAAAATGCTCAACATTAAAAAATCAGGAACTCTTATTTATTTTAATTCAAGTGAATGCAATGTTAATACATACAGTAATCTGTTATGCCTAAAGTGTCCTTCGGTATCAGTTGAGGTCTGAGGTATGTAGGGTGCAAAAGAGCTCTGTAAATGCAAGATTGAGTAAATACGCTGTGTTCTGATAAAACTGTCTGTAGCTGGCCAGTAGCTCATTATACAGCACCTCTTAACAGCAAAGCAGCTGACCTTGGGCTCAGCCATCTGAACTGTTTCTTTTAGCCAAATGTGTGGGAGGCAGATGCACTCTGAGTCGCACTCAGTGCTCTTTGGGTTGCATCTGGAATATTCTGTCCAGTTTAGCCCCCCTTCTTTAGAAGAAATCTTCACATTTCCTTCCAACCCAAACCAATCTCTGGTTCTGTGAATGCCATAAAACATAGTCTTCTCCTCTTTAATCCTTAAATTGGGCAAGGTTATTTAATTGGACAAGTAAATGCATAAATCTAGTGTCAGGAAATTTGGCATTAGATCCTCTGTTATAGCTCAAAAATGATACTATTTATTGTGCAGTGTGAACATTTGCCATATTAAATAGATATTTTTGTGTATATCTTTATCTTGATCGATAAGCACGTATTCATTGTTTTCCATAATGTGCAAGTAGGCTGTATGAAAGATTACTGTGAATTATAGTGCCATCTCAGAGACTGAAAAGACATGAGAAGAACATCTTGTGGTACTCTGGGAAAGATCTATTGGACTGAAAAGTCTTTTTTCTGTTGCAGACCAGCAATCACCTGCTTGGGCCAAAGCCATTTCCCCTGGACAGATTGTTAGCAATATTATATAGTATTGTGGACAAGAGAGTTGCTCCAACTGCAAATATATTTTCCCAGGTGAGTGTGTACTTACTCTCTTTACTTTTTAGTGTCTGGAATTCACAAAAAGGTTTTACGTGTCTTTTGTAAGTAATCATTCTAATTAAAAAGAATGAGAAAACAACAGTAATTCAAATTAAAGGCTCAGAGTAGTAATATTTATCTGTTTTACTAGCTGTGAATTCAGTACTTTTATCTGTGTAATGGTCTGAAATCTGCTAATAGCTAATTTTTCCTGATCCTGGACTGTGATCTGTGCTGATTAGTTCCTTGGTTTCTCATTGAAGTCTGTAAGCCTATTTGCATTTCAAGTTAAGTGCATAAATGTTCACTGTCCAGTGGCCAATATTAACCACCTAATTAGTCATGTGTAGTGCATGTTACAAAAATGCAGTAGTGAAGGAGGAGCAGAGACAAAAAGGTATTTATAGGTGAAAGATGTTTGCTGTGGTAGATGTATCTCATGTTTTTCATTTGGACAAAATGTCAGTCTTGCAGAGAAGAGTGACTATCCCATTTCACTAGATGGCAGCATAACTGTAGAGTTGAGTGGAATTAAGGAAATGTAGTTTTCTCTAGAGCTCTGGGTTTATCAGAAGTATATTGACCTATTCTGTATAAGTAGTTTTGTGCTACATTTATGATTGTTACTTATGATTCTTAGGCATTTCATTTCCACCTTAGAAATTCTCAATTTCTTCCTGCTTTCCAGTTGTATGTAGCTTTTACTTACTGAAATATCTTCTACCTTTCATTGTGAGGTATCAGATTTGACCAAGGAGTATTTGAATTTGTTGTCTGCATTTATCTAGAGTTCTAGAAGCATATTTGTGTGTAGGATACTAGCTTTGTATTCTCTTATTCTAGACCAGCAAAACTATCTTGATATATATTAGATGTGAATGCATTATATATAACAGAGTTTTACAGTGTATTTTCAAAATTATTATGTCTGCATATTTAAAATACATTCCAAGTAGGAGAACAAATGTCTTTATTCCAGTGCACAGTAAAGTAGTACTGAAGACGTAGTTTGTAAGTAGAGTATAGCTCCCCCTTAGACTACATTACAGAATGAAAAAATTCATGGAAATGCTTTTTTCTAATTCAATGTGCACTAGATGGCAGTGTTATCAAAGAATAGCTGTAATTCTTTATTTTTCTGATATCTGTGATTAAGCTATAAAGATATAAAAAGATTGTATTTAACCTTAACTGATTTAGAGCAAAGAAGTTGAAATTAAATATGTTTATACAAAAATAAAATTTCATGAATTCTTTTAAAATATATTTGTAATTATAAAGCAATTTCTCCATTAAATTTTAATTAAAAACGTTGAAATGTGTGATGTTGAGTAATATAAAATCCAGATTTTAAAATAGGTTTTGAAAGTAGTTTAAGCTAGGCATAATATTTAATTGCATTCTTTTCTTGAATAGTTTTAAACAATTTATATTCCACTGATTTTGCCACTAGTTGTTCTGTAAATATATTTTTCAAACAAAGTAAATATTTAGGAGCTGCGTTATCCTTAGCAGTATTGATAAATTATACTGTTAGATAACACAAGCTTTTATGTTCTCGTTTGTGTGTACGCCATGGAAATCATTCTAGAATTGTACAGAAATTTAAAATGTTTCAAGTCAAATATTTGGCTTCTTAACTGATTCAAGATTAATTTTATGTGCTCCTTAATTTGTAAACTGAAAGGCTGTACATGAACCAAATACACATTAATTCTTCCCATGTACTGTCAGAAAATAGCATGCCTTGGCTTTAAAGTTACTCAACAATCATAGTCAAGATTGAAGAAGGACTAGCAGCTGCTTTAAGATCTGTCATTTGCTGAGTTTGTGATATTTCTTATTGCTTCTTCTTTCACTGCATAATTTCTATTCACATGAAAATTTTGGTTATTAGTTATTCAAAAGTGGAACTTTTATGCTAATAAGCAGCAAAATTTCATTTTTCCTTGTAATGCTAGGGTTTATTGAAAATGTTGCATTTTTGCTAAATAGAATTTCAACTTAAATTTTGAATTTTAATCTAGCTGTAGCCCTTTAATGTTATTAATCCTTAAAATGGCCTTATGCTTTCTCTTCAAGCAGAAAATTAATCATGTTTCTGTTAGACGCATGATCTTTGCAACTAACTCAAGACTGAGTTTTTTTTCTGGTCTAACCTCTTATTTTAATTGGGTTACATGAGCAAGAGTTGATCTCATTCATTTCTGGTTTTCCTCACTAACAGGGGAGTAGCACCGGGGGGGGGGGAAATAAAATGCAAATATCCACTTCTGCAAATGAAAATTGTTTCTGTTGCTTCTTAAAAGTTGAAATGGCTCTTGGTTTTGTGCTCTTTTTAAACAAACTTTTCACACATCTGGTGAGGATTGTTTGAGAGGCAGTTAATGTAAGGTCTGGGGTTTTTAATTATAGCCTGCTGATCTCATACATATATGAATGTCTACATTCACCTGGGAAGTTTTTAGTGCTCATTTTTCTCCAGAATATTCACTGGGGTTTTTTTTAATAGCTCTAATTTGTCATGATTCTGTTTTTTTAACACATTGTGTATTAGTGTAACGTGTCACTGAATTTATTTGTTTGAATTTATTTGCTTGGTTTTTAAACCAAGAGATAACAGAGATTAGAGCATTGTTGATTTCTGCAACCATTTCAGAGGATGAGACCTTTAAATATTTTTCTTCAGGTGCATTTTTGTGTAATAATTTAACAAATTGCTGTCACAACTGGACAGAACTCACACAGTTGATGGTCTGGTTGGATATATGATTGGGTTGAGCATGTGGCTGAAGTATTTTAAAAGATAAAATATGGTGAAAAGATGCAAATGTGATTTCACACAGTGCTAAAACCAGTATAACTATGGGGTATGCAGTCTGCATCCTACAACAACAGATAAGTCACAGAGTTTCCGTATTTTGGTACAGCAGTTGATGCTTTTTCAGGCATAGGGAATAACCAGGAGTATTATTTGTGTGCCTACATGGACCCACTGTTCAGAAAGGGAAATGTGCTTTGTGACCAAGTGCAATTACTGCAGAATGGAGGGATACAGAAACTTTACAATGCCTCCTGCAAGTGCATTCTGCAAAGGTTCTGAGAGTCCAATCAATTCTGGTTTGTAGAACAGTAGTATTTAATTTTGGGCTTCCCACAGAAAATACAAAGAGAGAAAAATGTGCCGTAGCATAGGACGCGAGTGAATTTATACACAAAGCATTGGGCAAGAATTATCAGCACAGATTTAATTTAAATGAGCTCATTTTACATTGAAAGGTACAAGGGCTAGTAATTTTATATCACAACCACTAAGCAAGTAGATGTTGTTGTTATGGTTTATAAGCCAAAATTAACCAGTACTTTTTCCTCTACCAGAATAGTAATTGCTTCTTCAAAGAAATTAATTTCTCCTGACAATTTTTCATTTCCTAGACATTTTATCTTGCTTCTGCTTTCTTGTGAGATCTGCTTTTCATAAAGTGGATTGATTAGATCTACTTGTAGTTTTGAGCTATGATCTTAGATAAGGTAAACTGAAATGAAAACCTTTGCCTTGCATACTTTTGCATATTTTATTCCTGTTAATACATCCCTGAATGTTTGGAAAGACATCTCTGCAGAGAGGTTTGATAGGTATGAAAGTATGCTGATAGCTGAAAACTACCGAATAGGTAACTAACTTAACTTCCGTTTGTATTTTTACTCTAATGCACTAAAGTTAGGTCATCCCAGGTTTGGGTTTGATGTTATTATATTTGGCAGGTATTTTCAGATAGGTGTGTAGTTAGAATTCACTTCTGACTATAGTGCATTTGGAAGCAGAGATTTCTACAAAGGCTGTTTATCTCTGTGAGTATATGGAGACACATAAGTTGTCTTCCACATCATAGTCTGTATTTCATTTATTAGACATTTCCTATCTCTTTGATACTGGTTTTAAGAAAATTGTCTGAATTTTCCTAAGATCACCATAAATTCATAAAACCAGTGTAGTTATCAGGGAGCCCCTGGTGGTCTAGAGGGTAAAGGCGCTGCGCTGTCACTGTAGAGACCCGGGTTCGATTCCCGGTCGGGGCCACTCCCCGGGCAGATGGACCTCGTTAGCCCGTAAGGCAATCCATCTACGTCCTGAGGACCTCGCTGCCACCGTCCAAGCGTGCTTGGCCCCGGCAGATGAACCTCAGGATTAAAGGGTGGGCTCAGTTCCGCGCACACTGTGTCTCACCTAAAAAATCCAATGCGCAGGCTGGAAGGTGGAAAGACCTTCCCCGGTTCTTCGTTCACGAAGACTGGCCATTACATTACATGTAGTTATCAGTGTGTGAGAATTTGGTATGAAGATTAACAAACCTAATTTTTTTTCAACCTGGCATAAAGATAAATAGCATTGCATAGAATAGCATAAAATTGCACATTGTTTTCCATAGAGCAAGAGCTTTTTATCTGAAGTTAGAATAAGTTTGCAGATATGATATGTAGAGTAGTGTGTTAAGTGCCAATGTGATATGAGTCTATTAGAAATACACAAACCCACTGATGTACATAACATAATTCCAGCTGGAGGGAGCCAGAGGAACATAATTTCCTTTAATTAAGGGGAGGGGGGAAAGGTGCCCTTTCTTGGAGTGTAAAAATCTGAGAGGTTTGTTTTCTTTTTGTCTTGCTTTCATGTCTGCCTTACATGAATAGAATAAGGAATAGCTGGTATTCTATACGTAAATTGGAACAGTATGTGGTGATTTACCTGCAAGATTTCTTTGTCCCTGTTGTGTTAGGAGCATGCTTTATATCTTGCTTTTTGAGATGATAATTTGATATTTAACTGCCCCTTTTTTGTGAATTGCCAACTATGGTAAAACTCCGATTGCAATATTGGAAAGATGTCTGATTTTGTTATCTACTTCTTTGATTTGTATTATGTCTTGTATTGTGTTGTAGCCTTTCTGGACACCAGATACCTACATACTGATCATAGTTCTAACTCTGTTAGT